GAATTTGACGAGTAACAGTACATTTGACAATTTTTTGAAACATGCCATGTAATTTACAGAGTATGAGTTGGCAATCAACTCTTTGCCATATTAAAAACATGCTTCGTATTTTTCTCCATAATTAAAGCTAATTTTGGAGTTCTCACATTGTAAAAATCAATGTTAAAATACTCCTTATAATTTATTGCGTCAAACAATTTTAGTAATTTTAACCTAATAATTTTGGTAATTCTTGCCTTGTGTAAGTTGCCTAAGTTTTTATCCATTCTTCTTACCTTATGTGATTTTAGTTATTCTCACCAAAGATAATTATTTGCCATTTTTTTATGATCTCCTTGGTGTGTTTTTGGATTGAAAGAGTTTTCATTCAAAAGATTTATGGATTAACTTCAAGAATGATGTTTGAAATTGCTCTAGAATGGGTTGTACCTATTTTTTTTTAATTTCTTATTTACTGATGGTGTTGGGAGCAAATATCTTGAATTTAAATTATTCCAGAAAAAGGTGTAATTGAATCAAACGGTATGAGTTTTATTTTTGGTTTGAAAATGGATACAAGCCTTGGTTAGGAGTGTATTGAAATGAACACAAGTGTAGTAAAGTTTAGCTTGGTTTTACGTACATTAGTGTAGAGGTTGTAATACAACCAAAGTGATTATGATGTTCTTGGTATAAGAAAGAGTGGATAGATGATGAAAGGAAATGGAAAATTAAAACAGCTATAAAAGAGAGAAAAGGAGGAGAATGTAAAATAAGGGAATCCATAGATATGAATGATTAGGGGAAATCCCAGTACGAAATTTTATGTGTACTCGTGCATAGGAGTGTACATGAGAAGTAATGATCAAGAGTAAAATTTATTTCATTATACGTTTAGATCCTTTTTTAAAATAATAGATGGCAGTTGGCTCGCGCATCAGATTTTTATATTACCACATCAGCAACATTGGAAATCAACTTTGCTGATTAGTAAAAAACTGGTGTATGACTCCCGACATCAGGTTCATATTTTCCTGTGTAATCAACATTGCAATAAGCGTCTTACAAAATTATACAACCTGACATTTGGAGATGTGCCTGATGCTAGGAAAGCACAAGTATAAATTATGTAATAGGATTCAATTAATGTTTTTGTAGTTGGGTTAAGAGCATGTATGTTTTGAAATTAAAGATTTGCCAAAAACACACAAAGACTTTAAATTTAAGGATTATTTAGAGTGGGAGATTGAGTAGTTTTTTTGTGAACCAATTGTATAGAGAAGTAATGGCATGTAATTCTACATCCCTACTGCACCTTCACTTTGAAAATCTATATGTTTGTTTAATTAAAACAAGCATACTTAACTTATTACTTGTGATTGGTATTACTAAAAATGCATTAAATGTGATTAAAAGAGGTTACTTTATTCTAATTTTACTTTGTTTATGGAAAGGAAAAAAGTTTAGAAATGAAAATCTTTCATAATGATGTAGTAATTATTCGTAAACGGATATGGATGAACCCCTATAAGTTGTTGAAATTGTATAAAATACATTTTGTTGAAAGATTTAAAAATAGTAAAAGGATTTAAGATATAAGCATCACAGCAACGAATTAAGTGACATACCTTTCATTTTTCCATGGTGCCAATTCTCCGATGTTGTACGTGCAATTGTTGTTCATTTTCCAAGACCTTTTCCATGAGTAAGAAAAAATCCAAGTTCGGTGCATTTGGGAGGTACTCCCCTGTCATAAGGCAAAACCGCAATTACTCCTCTATTTAGTAGTCCACTTGAAAACAAAATTACTTCATATGTGGAAGTGGGTAGTATATTACATTATTTTTTCTACTTTCTAGTCTACCCTTAATCGGAAGAACTTTAATAGCTTGCAACTCGTGGAACATGAAACATGTATGCAACTGAAAGTGAATGCTGCAAGCCCAACGTTGTGGACTTCTGCAACCTAGTGTCGTCCTCCGATGATTGTCGTCACTCCCTGTCCACTAAGCTCTACTAGTTTCTTCACAAATCGCAATGGCCTAGTAACAACGCCACGAACAATTAATGGATGTGAAATCCATAGAGAATCAAGAAAAGTAAGTGATTATAAGAAGCATAGTAAGTGATTATAAGAAGCATGATTAGAAATAATATTTACAGAGACAATGTTTTGTGCTGCGTTTCGTATAAGAAGAGGGTTTGATACTGTAGAGAAAGAAATGTCATGTTTACAGTACAAGCTTTGTACATGGTAATCATGATCCGTAATTAGTATAAGTGTAGAACTAATTATGAAACCTGACCGGTTTGGTTTCAGTCACGTGGAGATCATGTCTCAGTCTCTCTGAAACTCACCCATATGCGTGTGCCATATGATTGTTTTGGTGGCATCCAAAGGTTCACCAAATATTTGGTTGTATCCGATCCAACATCTAACGTCATCTATGGTATTGGAATTGCTCTAACTACCTGATTAATCACAAGCATTATCATTCATCATTTAATTTGCACCTCAAAACTCAAAAGAAAAGATAATCTTTGTCTATGTCTGGAATGCAAAAATTTTAGGGTTGATTTTTACCTTAGAGAATATGGACGAATTTGAAATTTGATTAGAACTCTTTGAAATTCACATCATGTTTTTTAATTCATTAAATCTTTCAAATTTCCTTTCCTTCAAAAATGTTATTCCAATTTTATTTCCATAGAAGCATCGTCCAGGAAGGATTTTCCCTTCAAGTAGGTCTCAGCTTGCACGATCTTCTATGGCTCATCTTAGCTCCAAGCCCAACCTTCTCGACTTCTGCAATCGAGTTTCGTCCTCCGATTATTGTCGTCACTCCCTGACCACTAAGCTGTACCAGTTTCTTCGCAATGGCCTAGTCACAACACCACCAACAATTGATGGATGTAGAATCCATAGAGAATTAAGATTAGTAAGTGATTATAATAAGCAAGACTAGAAATAGTATTTAGAGAGATAAAGTTTTGTGTTGTCCTTCGTATAACATGAGAGTTTGATCCCTCCCGAGAAAGAATTGTCATTCTTACCGTACAAGCTTCGTACATGCTAATCATGATCCGTAATTAGTAGAAGTGTGGGAGTAATTATGAGATGTGACCAGTTGGAGAAGAATTGGTTTGATAGCACAGAAAGAATATTCTAATGGCTTGTCATTATATTGATGCAAGAACGAACATGTAGTTTATATTCAAGGATAAAATCACGTACCCAAAAATTATCACAAAAATAAAATGTGACTTTAGTCCAGTTCCCTAGAAATCTACTTCATTTTTGTAGTAAGTTTGTGCACTAACAGGGAAGCCAAAGGCCTCAGTAGCAGCGACGCATGCTTCACGCCGTGTCAACCAACCTGTTCCAGCGCCAAACGGAAGTCTGCCTCTTTCAAGTGGTCTGATAAGGCTGCTAGAACCTATGTTTAAAAAATTCAAAACCAATCCAATAACGTATCCGAAATAAAAACAGTCCTAAAACAAGGTACTATAAATTTGGTTTAGGAAACAAATCTACTATATATATAAAAGTTGATGGAAAAATCAGCTCCAATTGCACTCATCAATTTTCCCGCCAAAAATTCTGATCGTATGGCTAAGATTACTTGGATACACATGGCACATCCACATTAAATCTAAACCAGAAACATATACATGCACTTATGGACAAAAGTGTACTGACAAACAACTGATACTGCCACTGCCTGAATTACAACTCTGCCCCAATTTCATAATAGCTTCAGCCCAATGAATCAGTCACTGCCCCAATTTAATTTCTTTGAATCTTCAGAATTGTCACTTGAGGTGTTCCTCCAATATCAGGATATGCCATCTCAAAAGCCATTTCAAAATCAGAAAAAATCAATGTGTAATGCCCATTTCAAAGCTACTGCAAAGAGGCTCATATATTCACTATATACATACATACATATATATATATATATATATATATATATATATATATATATATATATATTCATTACAAGGAAATATAATAATTACGCCATGGCTGCTTCTGGCCGAGCTGATAACCACGCCAAGTTACGTATTACTCCCTTAATTTCACTAATCAAAATAAAAAAACTTTTTAAAGCAATCATCACAGCCTCTTTGTTATTCACATTATTCCAGCATCACAGACAACCCAGGGAAAAATACAATCAGAAGTGCCCAAAAATCCTGATATCATGAGCTTACTGACCTAGGGCAAGAGAGTATCCTCTAAGCATTTCAAATAATGTAATAAAAAGGGCCTCACAACCAAAATTTTACTACTATGAACGTTTGAAATGAGCATTATGTAATTCCAGTATAAGGCCCACACATAAAAGCTGATGGAGAAATCAGTTTCCATTGGAGAAATGTACAATCAGAAAAAAACAGAAAAACCAATCTTTTTCAGAATTATAGCAGTCTGCCTAAGAGAAATATACAATCAGAAAAAAACAAACACAGGTATATTTTTCAGAATTATAGCAGTGTGTTTAAGTGCAGAAATATATAAAATCACTCCTTGACAAAACCAAGGTATCATTTTCAGTACATGGCATCTAATCCACTATATAAAACCAAGCCAGAGTAGTTCACAAATGCCCATTTCGATGAGGTATTATAAAGAGGCTCAGATTTTCACAATTTAAATACTCATTACAAGGAAAAAGTTTGATATAACGTCATGGCTGCTTCTGGCTAGGCCGTAGCCACGCCAAGATATGTTTTATTTCCTTAATTTCAAAAAACCAAAAATGGTAAAACATATAAAATAAATCATCACAGCCTCATAATTTTTCAAAGTATACCATTTTAGGGGCACAATTTTACAGAGTATACCATTGCCTTATAAAGAGGATGAAATCAATAAAGTGGAAAAGCTATAACTATCTTTATAAGGGCAGAATTAGAGGATAATGTATTGTCGGGAAGATTACCATTTGAAGCTTATATAAAGAAGCTCAGATATTCACTATTTAGATAATCATTTTAAGAAAAAGGTTATGATAACGCCATGGCTGCTCCTGCCATCCATGGAGCCACGTCAAGATACGGATCAATTTCCTTAATTTCAGTATGCTCATTAAGAGTAAATATATAGTGTATCATCATAGCCTCAAAAGTCTACAACTAAATCCAGCTTCATACCCATAGTATACCATTGCTGCAAAAATACATTAAAATCACTTAATTACAAGACAAAGAATGTAACTTGGTCCCATTAGCACATGTCAATTACCCATTACAAGTGGTAAACACCAAATCAGTCTGTTCCAGCA